GTGCAGAAAGATTTTCTTGCCATTAACAGCTGCCCTGAAACAAGCCCACCATCCACCCCATGCAGTCTAGAAGGAATAAACGTGGCACTGTTGGCCACGAAGAACAAGAAGGCTGCTGGTGTGGATGAAATTTTTCCGGAATTTCATAAGAACTTGGGTCCAAATGGCCGACAGTATCTGGCCTCTTTTTACGGCAGGCCATACAACCGGAAAAATCCCGCCCGCCTATCGGAGTGCCACATCGTCGCCCTCTAAAGCCAGGAAATCCTCCAGAGAGGCCAGGCAATTACAGGCCTATCTCTTTACTATTCACGGTCAGGAAACTGATGGAGCGAATTTTATTGACGCGACTTTCCCCTGTCATTGAAGCCGTCCTCCTGGTGTAACAGGATGGCTTTCCATCTGGACGCAGCTGTTGCGAGCAACTGCTTTCGCTCACCAGCTTCATTGAGGCAGGATTCCAACGGAAACAAAAAACAAGAGTGGTTTTATAGATCTCTCATCGGATTAAGATATATTCTGGCATGACGATCTCATGTGCAAAGTCTCTAGAATAATCAGGTGCCAGAAGACTGTTCGTCTTATTGCCGCCATGATTAGCAACCGTCGGTTGGGGTGTGGACGGGTGAGTAAAGAAAGGATCCTTAACAGCGGACTCTCACATGCTGCGGTATTTATTCCATCTCTGTTTAACATCTATACCAGCGAACTCCCACAAACAGCTTCGAAGAAGTTGGTTTATGTCCATAGTAGTGCGCTAGCAACCGAACATACCGACTTACAGATGCTAATCTGCATAGCCACCTCGCTGTTATGACGCAGTATTTTGACCAGTGGAAGCTACAGCCAAACCCGTCAATGACTTGCGTGACGGTTTTCCGTCTGGACAATCGACTGGTCAAGGAGAAACAGCTGAGTTTTGGTCAACACGTGCAGCACGAAGCGAAGCCAACATATCTGCACTTCATTCTTGATCGAACCCTGTCATTTAAGCCACATCTGGAAAAAACAGCAGCAGGTCAATTGGTGAATCTGACTTGTTACGAAAACTTGCTGGCACCTCTTTGGGAGCAGGCGTTTGCGTGCTGCATACTACAGCCCTGCCGCTTGTATATTCTGTCACAGAGTATTGTTCCCCTGTTTGATGCCACAGCTGCCACATGAGCAACTTAGACACGCAGCTCAGTGAAGCGATGCAAACAGTAACAGGAACCCTGAAGCGAACCCAGACACAATGATTACCAATTCTGGCGCATAATGAATCTCCTCACCTCCGGAGGAGGGACGAGAAGGCATATGGTATTTTCCGGAACATTTATAAGAATCACCAGTTACCCAACCATCGAGTTCTCCAACAGCGACCAGCACGACGCCTGAAATCACGCTCTCCACCAAGGACGAGCAACGACACCGCGTCTGAGTTTCTAGGAACGGTGGCGAGCAAAGTGGAACGCTACAGCTGTGCATACCGAAGACCCAATCTCCAAAACGACCGCAGAACCCCATGGCATGGACTTGAATCACCTATAATATTCGAGATTAAACAGGTTTCGAACAGGACAAAGATGCTGTGGACACCTACTCCATCGCTGTAAGAAAAAGTCCAACCCGCAGTGTGACTGCAGTCATGAAGCTCAAACTATGCAGCACATTATTTTCGAATGTCCGCTGCGAAAGTTCTTCGGCAGCGTAACTGAATTCCAGGATGCTACCGCGGCAGCTATTCACTGGCTTAGAAATCTTGACATTGACTTCTGAAGTTGCTAATCATTTGCTCCAGCCATACGCCAGAAGATTTCAGAATTTGTCGAAATTGTGCAAAACGAGGCAAACATTTCTGGCTTTGACACAAAGAGGAAACTGCTCCTGCAATGGTGCATTAAATTTTCTTCACTTCAGAATCATGGACTTCTTCACCCAAAGGAGGTAGGCTAAAAACTGACCAGTATTTTGTTAAAATGTCAGAAAGGAACAACAACGCTTCGTGATTGGACGACATTCAGTCTGCGCCCGTTATGTGCCTATGTAAGGGTGTATATTTTATCTTGATGTTGCAAAAGCACACAGTTTTCTTGGTGGATATTATTCTGGTTAAATTTATAATTGAAGAAGCCAGCGAAATGTTCATCGAAATAAACGGCTTCACGAAGTTTGCTGATTAGACAACATATAATCAACGTCGAGTAAATAATTATTGTGGCAAGACGTATTGGACCTCGTCGCGGACATGCTGCGACTATGGCTGCATTGAATTTTCACAGGCTTGGCACAGGTGACGGATGACACAACTCGGTCAGAAATTTTTTCATTGTAATTCCGGCTACTGGACGTCATCGTTCTGTGATGATAGTTGATACGCCATCATCTTCGAATACCCTACCATATTAAAAGCTCTAAAAATTAATGGCCGCGCAATCACCAGTTCATAAACCATCTATCTGGTCAGTTACTGACCCTAACAGCGCCAGGTTGGAAACATCCTGGTTGGGAGGGTGGGTTTGGCTCTAGCATAGTCGAACTTATACATAATTGCCAGTCGTTTCTTAAGGACTTCTTCATTTGTATACTTTTTCTGTAAATTGTTAATGCGAACCTGGCCGCATGACTTCTATTCAACGGGACGATTTAATGGCCGTTTTCTGTCGTGCAGAAGTATGCGGTTTTCTATGGCAGATATTCTTCAAACTAAATTAAAAACTGAGATAGTCAGCGAAATGTTCGACGAAATGGAGGGCTTTGCGAAGTTTATTGGCTAGATGACATGCAGTTAACGTCGTTAAATAAGTATGTATATGTGCATATTTTCTCAAAATTTAAATGCTTTGTTTTTTTTATGATTTAATTTTCTGACAAATCGAACATGAAATAAAATATGAACACAGTAATAGTAAATTGGATATACGGTGTGATTCCGTAAGATTTCTAATTTTAAACTCAACTCCCGAGACATAGTCGACTTTCGTTTTTAAAGCCAGATATTTGCTATGAAGATATCTGGAATTTTGTCCTATATGCAGCTTGTGGTTCATACGTTGCTACTCTAAGTATTTCATTCGTGACACTGATAAAAATTAGTTATGAATTGAACACAGAGGTAAAAGTTTAACAGAAAACTTTGCTATGCTTTTATATACTATAAATTTTATAATCTTACAATAGTGCAAGTGTGGCTTTGTTTGTAGCTTTGTTTATAGTGGCATTTTTTATTTTTTCAGTCATCTTTGGTTAAAGTTTTTGTTAAGTAGAGGTGGCAATTCATCAGGACAATTTAATGCATAAATTGTATAAAAGAATTGCGCAACTTACTTTAAAGAAGTTGACCACGCATTCTAATTAGATGAATATGGACATTACGATCCGTTATATCCTCTTCTATGAGTATGGCTTTTTATGATATTTTACCGTTTGCTTGAAGCTTTCAGTAGTATTCGATTGCTAGCGACGGTAATTTTCAACAGTATACAGTACTGTATGGTTTAAAAATATGCAGTCGAAAAAAATGGTTGAAACGAAGTTGGTGTCCCAATATAATTCATTGGGAAAGGATCTAGGCGGAAGACTAAACGGGTACTTAAACCGAAGGAAAGCGAGTATTTACAACCTGCGTACCATATTTTCTGGATCTGTAGGAATCTCTCAAGCGGACGGTAAGCTCAGCGAACAACAGACCTGCCTTCAAGTCTAAAAGGAAGCTTAGATCACTACTGAGGAACGTTAAAGACCGGATACCTCCTGAAAACGTAACAAACCTGATGTACTCCCTGACTTGTAACTTACTGTACATTGCCATGTATGTCACGACCATGCTGAGTACAAGCGAGGAAGCAAACAAGCGGTCGCCGACTAAGAAGCAGTGCGAAAGCTAGAAATAATTTCCGGACCGGGCCATCATCGTATTGTGACATGCAGCCACATCGATTTCGCGGTCGCAAGACTCGTCATCTTTGAAAGGACCTTTCCGATTCAGACTACAGAAAATGTTACGAATCAGGCTGGGAACTGGAAATGTCCAAAACGTAAATAGCCTACAGAAAAGACTTGTATGAGCAATGCCATCCTGATCCAAAGTAGGAAAATAAAGGGCAATTTCTTTTGTACCGGTCGAAGGTTACAAATGCGAGAAGGTAAATGCTCAAGGCCAAGCTTGTTGATTAAAAGTAATATCTAGGTAACATCGGACTGCTGGCCTTTACTTATAAAAGTAAATAAATATCGGTTTCCAGTTAACTGGTTTCAAACTTCAAAATTAAGGCAAGGTGCTTTCGGTGATTACTAACGCGTCGAAAGGAGTTTCGGAGCCGCGGCATGAGCTCAATGATAGAAACATGGATAAAATTGCACCAACCATTGAAGTATGAGAAATATCGGAGCAACGACGATTGCAAGCTGGGTTTTTGCTTGGTATTACGGTGATTGATGCGAAAAATGTTCCACTAAAATGCCGTGCCGTTTGTCGGTCGTTCTACAAGACGTGGGAGAATTTTGGACGGGACAGCGCCTCTTATTCGGCAGGTAATACCATAACTGCGACACTGTCAGATTGATTACTTAAGTACTCATTTTGCACGTAGCTTGTCAATTTCAGCTGTCATGATGGGGTAATCTTTCTGATTCTGTACCAAAGCCTAGCAACAACTGTAGCAACAGCTGGCTACCGTATAATACAGGTTAAGAATCCCTAATCCGAAATGCTTGGGACCAGGATTGCTTCAAAGTTTGGATTTTTCCGGATTTTGGAATACATAATATGGTAGAGCTGAAGAGAATTCAGGAGAATTGAGGAAAAAATTCAGGGAATGAATTAAGAAACTCATAACTGGTCCCAAAGTACCAAAATATAAACTATTAAAACCATTTATCATGTTTTCTCATCCAAATTTTCCATTTGAATACGCAAAATAACGAATCTGCTTCCTTTGAACAAAAATATTCATGGCCCAGAACAGTGGGTTCGTATCCTAGACGGCTGTCTACTGTGACAGGGAAGTTACGGATGTTCAATAAAGTGGTGTAACAGCTCCTTAGAAATCACAAGACAAATAAACTCAGCTATTCCACAAATTGAAACAACCCGAGTTTTGCTGCAGTCAAGATCATCAGGTACAGGAAGACATTTTCAAACAGCTTATGTAGGTCGGAGGAAATAAAGAGGGTGGAATTTAGGAGTTAATGGGTTTTTTCATGATAAAATATGAGGTTGGAAAAGGGGTCTGTTTGACACGTTCTACTTTTTGACCCTGCAGACAAAATGAGCAGGAACCAAGTGTGCTCACGAACGGGACGTGGACAACTTCCAGCAACGTTTGATCATCCGGCCCTCGTTAGGTACAGAGGGAGGACACTTTACTGATTGACCGGGTATCGGAAGATACGACTGCGAATCAAAGGTTGATGGGGATGGGGACGGCTGTTATTGCCGTTGTTCATATTATCCAAAGATATTTCAAGAAACTCAGGACTGAAAGCGAATTAATACGATGTTATGGATATGGGAATTTCAGATTGGGGATAACTTAGCCTGTACTGTGCAGTTTATGGCTCACTGGTCAGAGTATGAAGTGCAAACATTGTCAGTGACTTTAAAATGTCAAAGCAGAAAATCTCTGACGAGGTGCATTGAATGATGAACATATTTCTGGTCGCTTATAGTTAACTTTCTTCAGATGTGTTAAGCGGAGAAGAAACAGTAGGGTTAGTATTAAGGTGGTAGCCTGTGTCGAAATGTTACAGTTTCTTTTGTAAGATTCACAACAGTCAGAACCATCGGACCTTCAAATGCTTGCTCCTTCTATATGAATTGAACATTTTTAAGCTAGGGTAACGCTGCGCTCAAACCCTGGTAATTCAGTCCACGCTTGCTTTGGCAAATAGCTTTCACACATTACCCAAACAAACCTCATCACGCGCTCATGCACTTGAACATAACTTCTTTTCTTTGTCGGCGATACTTCATAGGCGCGGGTTTGTTAGATCGAAGTGGAAAGGTCACAAGGCAAACAGTGAATTAACTGATAATAATGTTCAATTGTTTACACCACAAAACTAGATTCTTTACAAACGACAAGTTACCAGCGATCGTTCTTTTGTAGACGTTGATTTTGTTCTGCTAAGCATCTTACTCGCCGCTGCGCTATGTTGTTGGTTATCTGTTGTAGGGTCACTGA